AAGCACAGAACCAGATGGTGAGGGGCCTTGTAGGCCAGAGGGCGCAGCACGGGGGAGATTCCAAGTGCAACAGGAAGCCAGTGGAGGGTTCGAGAGAGAAATGGGCATTTATATTTGTAAAAACACTTTACTTGGGCAGCTATGTGGAAGGTGGAATAAAGGACGGAAGTGAACTGGGGAGATCAGTAAGGAGCGGAGGCAGTAGCCCAAACAGGAGAGAACAGCACGGAGAGAGGGTGATGGCAGGGGGATGAGAATCACTGACAGCGCTGGGTGGATTCTGGAGGTAGAGTTGAGTGATTGGAGGTGAGTGAACCTCATAGGTCACTGGGCCCAGCTCCTGCCCTTCCCAAGCTCACCAAGCCTAATGACTGGCTTGCCACAGGTCACAGAGCTGCTTAGTGACGGATCCAGGCCTAGTTTCCAAGGTTTCCCAGCAGTGCTCTATCACTCTAGGAAAGCAGGAGTTGGAATTTAAGGTTAGAAATCATTTTGTTTTGTTTTGTTTTTTAATTGTTAACCAGAAATTTCGGATTCGACTTTTAAAACTTTTAAACTTGCTTGACAACTTTTTATTAGCTTCCTGGTCTCCCTGCCTCAGAGTAGAAAGAGACAGATCCGGGGTGGGTGCAATTTCAGGTCCACTGCTGGCTATGGTGACACAGGGTGTGAGATGGGGACAGTGAATGTAAACAGGGTAGTCAGAAGAGACCTCGCTGATAAAGACAACCCTGCTGAAAAACCTGAAGGACATGAAGGAGTGAGTGGGCCTCGCAGATATATGAAGAAAGGTATTCCAGGTGGCAGACACAGCTGAGCAAAGACCCTCTGACAGGAACCTGGCATGTTTGATGGTCTCGGGGAGGCCAAGGTGAGTGGAACACTTGAGAGCAGTACACAAATAAGCATGGAGAAGAGTGGGATGAAATGTGGGAATGCAGGGTCAGATGCCATAAGGCCTTGTGAGCCATGGAAGGCTTTGGCCTTTATTCTGAGTGAGACGGGAGCCATGAGAGGGTGTAGGCTGAGAAGTGGCATGATATGACGTGCATGTTCACAGGAGCTCTGTGCTGCCGTGTGGAGGACAGACTGTAGGAAGCAAAAGTAGAAGTGGAAACCCACTACGAGATTGTGGCAGTCATCAAAGTGAGAGAGGAGAGTGACTTGGCCCATAGGATGTGGCAACAAGTGGTCAGCCAGTAAGATCTGCTGACAAATATGATGCAATATGTGAGAAAGGGAGTCAAACATTACTCCCAGGAGAAATGGGAGAGATGAATTTGTTACCAAACGAGATGGTGTAGGGGCACTGGGGTGTTCAGTCGGTTAAGTGTCTGACTTTTGATCTCGGCTCAGGTCATGCATGATCTCACAATTCATGAGATGGAGCCCTGAGTCTGGCTCTGCACTGACAGTGCGGATCATGCTTGGGATTCTCTCTCTTCTGCGCTCTCTCTCTCTGCCCCTCCCCCACTCATGCATGCTCACTCGCTCTCTCTCAAAAATAAAATAAACGAACATTAAATCAGGGCAGATGAGGAAGGAAGGGGTTTGGGTTTCGGAGTGTTAGGTTTGAACTGTTGGTAAGTCATCCAGTGGAGTGGCTGGGCTAGCAGCCGAACATACCAGAGTTCAGGAGACACATTTAAACTGGTTCTAGGGCACCTGGTTAAGCATATGACTCTTGGTTTCAGCTCAGGTCATGATCTCAGTTTTGTGGGTTCAAGCCCCACATCAGGCTCTGTGCTGACAGCATGGAGGCTGCTTGGGATTCTCTCTCTTCCCCTCTCTCTGCCCCTCTGCAACTTGCACTGTCTATGTCTTTCTCAAAATAAATAAATAAACTTAATTTTTTTTTTTATTTAAATAAAAAATAAACTAGTTCTACTTGGGAGGTATTGGCACATGGATGGTGTTTAAAGTCACAGGACTGGATGAAATCCAGTGAGTGTACAGGGTCAAGGACTGAGCCCTGGGTCACTCTAGTATCAAGAGGACAAAAAAGCAGAGGAGGAACCAGCCAAGGAGACTAAGTAGGGACAACCAGTGAAACCAGATGAAAATCAGAGGAGGTATGCTGTGCTAGAATCCAAAGGAAGAAAGTTTACTAAGGAGGAAACAGCAACAATGCCACCTGCTGTTTATAGGTCGAATAAGATGACTGAAAATTAACAATGTGAGGTCCCTCATGACCTTGACAAGGCCAGTTCCACTGGGATGAAGAGGATGAAAGCCTGACTCGAGTGGGTTAGAAAGAATGGCAGGAGAAATAGAGCCAGAGAGTAACAGCTTCCTCTTTGGGGGTTTGCTGCAAATAGAGAAATGGGTGGTAACTGGCAGGAAGAAAGGGGGGGAAACAACAGCATGTTTGCATGCTGGTAGGAATGATCCGATAGAAACAAGTAAAATTGGGATGTGGAAGAAGGGAGATGTGGTGGAACCATGTTGAGTTGGTGAGAGACTGGGGTCTAGTGCACAGCCAGAGGGATTTTCTAGGCAGAATCATGCATAGCCCAAGGGCATTGCTTCTCAAACTAGAAGGTTCATTAGAATCACCTGGAGCACTTATTAAAGCACAGCTTGCTGGACCCCACCCCCTGAACTTCTGATTCTGTAGGTCTAGGGTCCAATAATTTGCCCTCTGACAAGTTCCCTGATGGTGCTGATGCTGCTGGCCTGGAGACCAGGCTTCAAGAAACATTGATCTACAGTGATGTAAGTGAGTAGATGTAGTGGAGGGAGTCTGTGGTGTTTCATTTTGATTGCTTCAGCTTCCTCAGTCAAGTAGGAAGTAAAAACAGTAACAGAGTAAAAGTGGGATCTGAGGTGCTGAAGGTTTGAGAAAAGGGAGAAGGTATGAAATGGTTGTCTCGTGAGTAGGAAAGTGAATACAGGAGAAAATGTCAGTGATTCCCCTTCTGAAACTGATAATCAAGAAATTAAAATAGGACACTGCTTGCATGTTTTTCTCCAACCACTCTAAATGGCACAGGTACAGGTAGTGAAGAGTTGTATGTGACATAGATTGTAGTTTGTCAGTTAAAATCAATGAAGTGAGAGGTGCCTGGGTGGCTCAGTCAGTTAAGCGTCCGACTTCCGCTCAGGTCATGATCTCACGGTTTGTGAGTTCGAGCTCCACATTAGGTTGTCTGCTGTCAGCACAGAGCCTGCTTCGGATCCTGTCTCCCTCCTCTCTGCCCCTCCCTTGCATGTACTTTCTCTCTTTCTCAAAAATAAACATTAAAAATAAAAATGGGAGGGGCGCCTGGGTGGCTCAGTCAGTTGGGCGTCCGACTTCGGCTCAGGTCATGATCTCACGGTCCGTGAGTTCGAGTCCCACATCGGGCTCTGTGCTGACAGCTTAGAGCCTGGAGCCCGCCTCAGATTCTGTGTCTCCCTCTCCCTCTGCCCCTCCCCTGCTCATGCTCTGTCTCTCTCTGTCTCTCAATAATAAATAAACGTTAAAAAAAATTTTTTTGTAAAAAGTGGGAATGCCCCACTCTTCAAGTTGAAAGGCTTTGGGGAATAAGAAATTCGGAAAAATTTGGATTCCAATGCTTCAGAGGAACAAGGTTAGAAGGACAGGCTTCTGCCAAGTTGCTTTTGATGACAGAGACCTAGGCCCTTGGAGTGCTGCTCACCCCAGGATGCTAGAAGACCATCCATATTAGATCGTCATAGAAGACATGTGTCCTTCTTTAGCAAACCAAAATAAAAAATTCATGGAATTGTGACTGGGAGTGGTGAGGGAGGAGGACCCTGCAGATGGTTTGGTGTTGTTCTATTTTTGTAAAATAACTTAAGTGGGTTACATATATTTAGGAATACACACATGCTATATGTATACACTGATTTTGTATGTGTCATAAAGCAAAAAAAAAATTTAAGTTTAGAAAGATATATAGAAAACTGCTATATCAAGATATACACCTTTTTATTCTATATATGTAACTGTCTGAACTGGTTATTTCATTTCTTTCATCAGAAAAGCACTCCTAGTTAAAATGAATTTAAATCTCTCAAAAATCATACATCAACGAGCTTCAGAGGTCATTTCCTTTTTCCAGTGAGGAAACGTGTGCAGAGCAATTCCCTGACTTGCCAAACATCACACAGCGCCTTCATCATGGAGCAGAGTGCCTAGGACTGAGCTGAAGCTGTGCAGGAGGATGAAGAGGCAAGGGGCGCATGCGGTTTCCGCTGAGTGAAAAAAGGCGAGGAAGGAAAATCCAACACAGAAAAGGCTATCTTCTGGATAGATGCCCCTCTTCTCTTCTCGCAGCATCCTGTATCTCCCCCAGCATCAAACGGTATTACAGAGGAATCCTTAAACTGAAGTCTGAGAGGACGGGAACCTCCTACTTCCCTCTCTCCAGTGCCCAAAGTAGCACCCACAGGGGCTCACAAAATACAGGCCAAATAGACGGATAAACCAGGAGTACACTCACACGGCAAACTGGACAAACAGCAAAACTGAGAGTTTCTTCAAGGAGCTTCCCCTTAAAGGGCAATTTTTAAGTAACTTTTTCTTTTTTGAGCACACGAACTGCTCCTGTGGCCAGCAGGTGGGTTCAGGGTAACAGCTTTCCAAGCTTCCGCTAGCCAGCCACATATTTGAGCATTATTTTAAACTTAAAATTTTTTTATGTTTTTTTTTTTATTTTATTTTTTATTTTTTGACAGAGAGAGAGAACGAGAGCGGGCGCGAGCAGGGGAGGGGCAGAGAGAGAGAAGGAGACACAGAATCTGAAGCAGGATCCAGGCTCGGAGCTGTCAGCACAGAGCCCGCGGCAGGGCTCCAACCCACTAACCGCTAGCTCAGGACCTGAGCCTAAGTCCCACGACGCGCTTAACCGGCTGAGACAGCCAGGCGCCCCATGAGCATTATTTGAAAAGGTATTAGAAAGCAATAAACCATGCATGACACTAATGACATCTCTGCCCCGTTAGCAAGTTAGTGCGAAATCCCATTTGCCGGTCCCTCAGGCTACCTGGCTTACCTGTGAAGGTAAGGGGTTTGGCACAGGGGGAGAGACCCCATCCTGAACCCAGTTTCTGGAGGTAAAACAGCCATTCCGTCAGGGCAGGGGAAAGGCATACAAAAACGAAGGTATGCAGAACAGCCCCTTAGGCTGCGGCGGCCTACTGCAAGCCAGGTCGCAGTAATATGGAGAATCAGGTTAGCAGGACGCAGGCTCGCCCGACCGCGGGTGAGGGAGCGGCGCACGCGCCGTCCAGGGTCCTAACCCGGCGGCTGGGCGGGGCGGAAGGTCCGCCCTAAGTTCCCCCCGCAGAGGGGCTGCAGAGCCAGTCCCGGAAACGTGAAGGCAGGGCCCTGCAGGTTTGTGAGACCTTCTCCAATTCAGTTAATCTCGCTGTGGTATCTTACCCCACAATGACGTCAGCGTTCCACACGCAAGCCCAGCAGCTACTGTAACATAACGGTTCTAAAGGCAGGCTTCTCAGAAGGAGTGTCACCAGCTGCCTAGAAACCACTAAAGATGAATGACACAGTTTTAAGTGGCATTACTTTCCAAGGCAAAAAAAAAAAAAAAAATCAGAATCCGAGGGACACTATTACTCTTTATCAGAAGGGTCCTACATTCGTGACACAAACATTTCAAATATACATCTTCCTCAACTTCTGATGGGGTTAGATCCTCCTGATAAATCCATCAAGTTGAAAATATCCTGAAGTTAAAAGTACATTTAATACACTTAACCTATGACAGTTTTGCCTAGCATACCTTAAATGTGCTGAGAACACTTCCATTAGCCTATAGTTAAGCAAAATCATCTAACATAAAGCCTATCTTAAAGTGTTGGATACCTCATATAATTTATTGAATACTTTACAGAAAGTGAAAAACAAAACGGTTGTGTGGGCACTAAATGGTTTAAGTGTATCAGTTGTTTACCCTCCTGATCATGTGATGGGACTGGCAGTCACACCAGCTGTGCTGCCCAGCACCAGGAGAAAGTATCTTTCTTCTGGCATAATGCTAGCCTGGGAAAATATCAAAATTCAAAGTATGATTTCTACTGAATGCCTATCACTTGCGCACCAGTGTAAAGTTGAAAATCTTAAGTCAAAACATCCTAAGTCAGGGACTGTCTATATATCATTTTTCAAACAACAGTCAAAAGAATTGGCAGTATCCAAGTGCCATATTGACTCATGAAATACAGAAAATTTTAGTACTCATTTATTTTCATGCAGGTAGAAAAATCTCTGAAAAGTAAGTTAGGTGGGGTGGAAAATAGTTCTTCCAACATTTGGGGTCTCTATTTACAAGGCCAAAAGTAAAAATTATGGAAGGGCACAAACCAACCCACATTTACTGGGCCTCACTCTGGGTGAACCATGATGCCAAGTGAAAGTTCTCTCCGTAACTCCAGAAGATTTATACATTGCTATGAAAAGGACAGAAAAGGGGCGCCTGGATGGCTCAGTCGGTTAAGCGTCCCACTCTTGATTTGGGCTCAGGTCATGATCTCACGATTTATGAGATTGAGCCCAGCATCACACTCTGCACTGACAGTGCAGAGCCCGCTTGGGATGCTTTCTCCCTCTCTCTGCCCCTCCCCTGCTTGCATGCATGCTGTCTTCAAAACAAATATTTAAAAAATAATAAAGGAGCTCCCAATTGCCAAAGCTGGGACAATTTGTGCAACAGAATAAATGACAGCACTGACCCATGGAATTAAATATCCCTGAGTCCACACTGATACAATTTTTAAAAAATGGGGAAGACAGCTCCTCCTTATAGGATTCTAGTTGGTATAAATGTAAAATACACAGTGAATAAACATGTGGCAAATGCCACAGTAATACAGGCAGTAACAATCCAGATGTCAAAATCAGTGAACCCAAGACTGATTTTGAGTATACTCAAGTTACTTATTAATTACAAAGGGGAAATCAGTAACTACAGTGGAACAGTACGGCAGACACTACCTTAAACACCAAGTGATCAAAGTCAACAGTAGTAAGACATATGGACATCATGTTTGTTAATACAATGCAGTGAGAAGGGCACAGAACTCTTTTGGTATTCTTGCCCAAAAAACCCTCAATCTAATAGTGAGAAAATATCAGACAAATGCAATGCAAGGGGCATTCTATAAAATACTTGGCCAGTTCTCTCCAGTGTCAATCATAAAAGGTAAGATTGAAGAACTCACGGGCTAGAGGCCTAAAGACAACTAATGTAATATGGAATCATGGACTGGATCTGAGCCAGAGAAAAAGGGACATTCCTTGGACAACTGGCACAATCCATAGGTTAATAGTACTCTATCTGTATTTAGTTTTTTGATAATTGTACTATGGTTATGTAAAACATTGACAGTTTGGGGAAAGTCGAGTGAAGGGTGTATGAGAACTCTTGGTACTATTTTCACAAAAGTCTAAAATTATTCCAAAGTAAGTGTTTGTTTTTTTTTTTTTAATGGAATTATGTTAGGGGAAAGTAGCCAATCAAATGTGACTAAGATTAAATTGAATGAACTTAAGATTTATGCATTTTGTTCATCTTAAAAGTCAGAATGCTTTGAATCAACACTGGTATGTGTGGTAAGATTGTTCAGTTCCCGGGGCACCTGGGTGGCTCAGTCAGTTAAGTGTCCAACTCCGGCTCAGGTCATGATCTCGCAGTACGTAAGTCTGAGCCCCATTTTTGGGCTCTGTGCTGACAGCTCAGAGCTTGGAGCCCACTTCAGATTCTGTGTCTCTCTGCCCTTCCCCCGCTCACATACTGTGTACCTCTCTCTTTCCCTCTCAAAAATAAATAAACATAAAAAAAAAAAACTGTTTAGTTCCCCCTCAACAAAGGAGAAACAACATGGCTATCCAAAATCTTACATTCACAAATGACAGAACAAAATAAAGCACTGAGGGCAAATTATCAACAGTCAACAATTTCCACTGGCAAAGTGGTCATTGGCAAGTAAGAGAATTCATTTTAGCTGCCCTGGGGGTTCTGCATCAAACCAACTTTTGGACCAAACTTAGAGTAAACATAATCTCGTTTTTTATACTACAAAAGAAAGCCTGTGTGTGTGTGTGTGTGTGTGTGTGTGTGTGTGTGTGTGTGTGGTTTTTTAAATACACAAATCCAACATCTGGACCTTTTCAACCCTCAGGGAGAGCTAGGTGAGCAGCCTTTAGAGAGGCTCCAAATTCCTTTCAGTTTGCCCCCAAAATCATTCCAGTATTTCCTATGATGTGAAAAGAAAAACTGGGAAGCACTGGCTTAAACTTACATTTCAAACTGCAAAAACAACATCCTGAATGATCTCATATCCAACTTGAACACAAGGTAGAAAAATGAAAGTAAAATTGCTTTTGAATTTGCTTTTCTCAGGATATTTTCCCTTTTGAAGGTGAAATACTGGGCAATTAAGCCCATGGTAGTGCTCTACATGTCACAGAAGTTTGAACTAAAACTGTAAACAATGAATGTTAAATTTCTAAATTCAGAAATTGGGCATCTTCAAACTTAGCAAAGGACTCCCCAATTTTGGGTGAAATGTATTTTAGAAAAAGTTTGGCAAACAGGAATACCTACGTATACTGTACTGTGCCTCAAGCAGAGAAAAGTTCTCAACTCGAAGTGACAACTATAATGCTAGTCGCTAATTAGCATTATTACTTTTATCACATCCTATATTTAGTAGCCTGGGCTGTGCAGAATAGCCAAATGAATAAGTCATTTGAGGACAAAACACTGTCCAACATCATTAAAACCCATTTTCAGTACCTTTTCTTATTACATGAGTTTTCACACATTTAACACACATTTAGCACAACTGGGACATCTTAAGAACTAAAAATCTTTTACTTATTTATTTCATTTTTTAAAGTAATTTCTACACCCAACGTAGAGCTCAAACTCACGACCTGGAGATCAAGAGTCCCATGTTCTACCAACTGAGCCAGCCAGGCACCCCAAAGGGCTTAAACTCTTTAAGGCAGAGAAGCCCCAAACCTTGGGAAATAAACAAAGATGAACCAAATACCATTATGTTTTTATGGTTCACAAAGACCCAAGCCTTACTGGGATTTATGCTTGGACCTGCATCCACATGAATTACTCTTTAGATAAGCCACATTTCAAATTAAACACTTACATCCTTGATACTGGACTCTACCTACTTTGCAAATAAAATTATAAGCTATCTGGCCAGATTTCTACAGGGTTAGACAAGTGCCTGGCACCTAATAAGCACTCACAAATATTTGCTGAATGATTTCCCAGTGGCTCTACCTTCTTTGGGAAGCATTATGAATTCTGGCCCACCTTTTTCTTTACAGAGGTCCCGGATACAAAAGCAAACCTGAACTGTTTCATTTCAGCAAACTTTCTAAACATAGTTGCCATCTCACCTCTTAAAAGTCCTTACATTCCAAATCTTTCATTAAAGATAGTAGACTCAAATCATACTAATAAATGGTACTAGAAGTGATGCTCAACAGGATCTCACGTTTATTGAGAAGTGATTAATGGTAAAAAGAAAGGCAATGCCCTTTCCTCATTGGCTGAACAAGAAACTGAAGAAACATTCACTACACGTTTTACAATATTTTTCTCTTCCAAAATGCATTTCTGTAAACAAATTTTTACCACTGTTCTTAGCTTTGAAATCAAATTAATCCTGACTTAATCAGTATAATGTACAAGAACAGAAAATTTCTTAGGACTCCTAGTAGTTTACTTTGAGTAACAAAGGGTCAGAGAAAATGAACCACCCTTAAAGACACAACCTTGGGTAACACTGTTAAATTCTCCAAGACAAAAATTCTTCATAAAAATGTTCTTCCAGTTCGGAAGGGGAAAAACCAAATTCCCACTTTCTGGGGTGGAGGCCCAAAATCTTCGAAACTCAAGTGTTCTCCAAGTGCAAATGTCAAAATGGGGAGAGGAAAGGGTTTAAAAATTAGAGAAAACTGTATGCACTTACGGACTTTAAAATCCGAAAAACATAGTAAAAAGACAAAAAAACAAAGCATTATGCTCTGAAATCACAACCAAAGCCAAAATAAAAGGGACATTTTTCACCTAAACTACCTAGAGGGATTTTTTGTTTAGTTTTTTCTTTTTCTTTTTTTTTTCATTTTCCAGTTAAGTCCTATGTCTTTTGTGAAATTCCAATACTTAAACTGCAAGTCTGCAATCGTCTCTGAAGTCAATGAGATTAAGAAAAAAGTCCTAATTCTCTTGAAGGTCATTTTTTTCCTCTTAGGATATGCAGATGCAACCGTTGCTGCAGTCTGTGGAGAACTGCCTTTTATTTGCCACGACCTTGACGTTCCTACAGAGGTTAAAAAAAAATTGAAATCATTAGTTAAAACTTATCTGAACATGCTTAAAAATTAGAACTTTATAAACAACTCAATAGAAATTTAGTTATTTGTGCTAGATAGAATACTCCTTACAAATAAAAACTTTTACTTCCTGTATTTTAAACCAAAGTAGTAACACTCAATCACACCAATTAATAAAAAAAATGTTTTTCACTTTAAAATTTCTTACATGACTGAACAGATTTATTTTCCAACTATAGTTGGTTTAGGCTAATACTTGTCAGTCCCCCAAAATATGAACCCTTGGAAGTAATTCAAACATAATCAAAAGCCTAAAGAAGGAAAGCAGCATATAAGGAATACTAAAAAAAAAAAAAACAAACAAACAAACAAAAAAAAAAACAAAGAACACCTAACAAGGCTCTAGGCATATTCACAGGTTTCAATTTCCTTCTTTTATGAAATGAGGATACATATCTCACAAGACTGCGGAAGAATTAATGGACTGACATACAGAAAGCTCTTAGTCCATAACAAGAAAGAAAATTATCCTCTTAACCCCTAGGGACAGTTTAAAATCCACTTAGAGACAGAATTTTGAAAATTGACTGCAATACTTAAGTTTTCCCTGAAAAAAATCTACATGCTTATTTCTTAGTAAAAATCATTCTTTATGTGCCTTTCATAAATTTATCCTAAACAGCCTCCCATTTCACACACTACCTCATGTATTAGAATTTTTTAAACTATGATTCAATCCATGTGCCTTTTAAAAGCAAAAACATTAAGAAGCACAAGGCCTGAACTTATTACTTGATTCATCAATCTGTTGGAGTAGAATCAATCATCTGCTCCCATTTACCCCATGATAAATACGATTCCTACTAAGAACAGCAACTACCACTTAGGGGATTCCATGTTCCAGACACTGTATGTAATAATGATCTTCATAACCACCCTGTAAAGACTATTATTCCTGTGATAAGAAAACTAAAGTTCAAAAAATTTACTTGACCAGGATTACCTAATAAGAACCAAGATTCAAACCTAGGGCTATATATGACTATATAGGCTCTTTCTCTACACCAAGTTATTACAAATATTTATATAAAAATCAACAAAGTGAAGCTTTGTGATGAACAGACTACCCCCACCACTAAATTAATCCATAGATAAAAAAACAGTATTAAGCGCAGTTATCTTTTTCTTT